TGCCTGGATTCAAGCAGTACTCCTGCCTCACCCTCCCAAAGTGCTGGGATTACAGATGTGAGCTACCATGCCTGGCCAATACTAGATTTAAAATTACATATGGGCCGGGAATGGTGGCTCACACCTGTAATCCCGGCACTTTGGGAGGCTGAGGGGGGTGGATTACGTGAGGTCAGGAGTTCAAGACCAGCCTAGCCAATATGGTGAAACCCTATCTCCACTAAAAATACAAAAAAATTAGCTGGGTGTAGTGGCGTGTGCCTGTACTGCCAGCTACTCGGGAGGCTGAGACAGGAAAATTGCTTGAACCCAGGAGGTAGAGGTTGCAGTGAGCTGAGATTGTGCCACTGCACTCCAGCATGGGCAACAGAGCAAGACTCCATCTCAAAAAAAAAAAAACAAAAAACAAATTACATATGACTTACATAATTATTGTCATCTATATTACTATATACTACAGTACTGCTGGACAGTGCTGTGACTAGATTAATTCCACAAGGAAAAGAGCCATAGCAATACTGTTCATCACTCTAAACCCAGGACCTGGTATTGGGGCCAGGATATAGTAGGGGGTCAAAAAAGTGTTATTTGTTGAATGAATGTTTGACAGTCACATTTTCCATCAGCCCTGAAACATTTTAAACAGCCTGTGAAGGGAATGTGATCTAATTTAAATGTCAGTTTATATATTAAAAAACAAAAAACAAAAAAAAACCCCACCATAACTCAAGCATGAAATTTGCAAGAAGGGGAAACTAAAAGGGAGAATGAAGGGATCAGGGTCTCAGTCCCTTTTTTCTGAGGGATTAGGGGGATATTCTGACCTTTGTCAAGCCAAAAAAGGAAAAAAGAAAGGTCCTGCCCATCAGAGGCAGAGACAGGATCATTCTCCACTTCCTGTGGCCCTCCCCCTCTTTCTTTGCTAACAGAGGGATCTATTTTTAGCTAGGCACATGGCCACCCAGAGTCCAAACATTTTCCAGCCTCTCTGGAGCTGGGTTTGGCTATGTAAGTTCTGGCTCATGGGATGTAAACAGAAGTGTCAAGTAACTTTTGGGAACTTTCCTTAAAGGGAAGTGCTATGTCTCTTTCCCCTTCTCCTGGCTGGAATGCCTGGAACCTCAGCAGCCACATTGAACCATGAGGAATGGTGGAGGGGTGGTGTAGTGGAAGGCTGGGAGGGGCCTGGGTCCCTCCCCGACAACTTGGTGAACTGTTCTATCAGCCTTGGAATGCCTACTGTGGACTTTTTATGTCAGAAAAGAAAATCCTATGTATTTAAGGCTTGTTGACTTGCATTTTTTGGTCACCTTGTCCTAACTGGTGACTAGTGCCTACCAGCTTTACGTCGCTATCACTGGAAGGGACCACTCAACTACCTTCAGAACACTCAAGTACTTTCCGGGATAGGGTTTGCTCCAAGGTGACTGGATTTCTTTACCATCAGCTGTTGATTTATTTTTTTGAGACAGGGTCTCACTCTGTTGCCCAGCCTGGAATGCAGTGGTGTGATCTTGATCCACTGCAAGGCCTCCACCGGCAACTCTCGAGGCTCAGATTGATCCGTCTCACGATTCAAGCCCTCCCTGAGTAGCTTGGACCCACAGATGTGTGCTGTACCCACAGCTAATTTTCTTTTATTTTTTGTAGAGATGCGTGTTGATACCCATGTTGCCGGTATCAGGAGTATGTACAGACATTGCAACATATATATATACATTCCTGCTGGAAACTTCAGAAGCACTACAAAACTCTAGGCACAATGAACATTGGAGCAAGAACAGAGTGAACCTGGCAACATGGTGAAAATTCCATCACTAACAAAAAAAAAACAAGAAAGAAAGCATTAGCACTGGGCCAATGTGCCTGTCAGTCTACCCTGCTCTGGGAGCCTAGGTGGAAGGACTGCCTTGAGCCGTGGAGGTGAGAGGTCCAGTGACCGAGTCATCATGCACTCTATCAGCCTGGGCGACAGAAAGAACGCTTGTCTGCGAAAAACAAACCGAGCAGAACACAAAAAACACCAAAAACAATACAAACAAAAATAGAGCATCTAACCTCTGTCTCGTCAACCCAGTTTGCTGTTCATTCTTCTTTTTTTTTTTCTCTTTTAACAGGGTCTCCACTCTGTAACCCAGCAACACCTGAATACCTGGGTTGATCTCCGCTTACCAACACCAGACCTCTGGCCGTCCAGGGATCCAAGCTGATTCTCACAGGCTGCCCTCAGCCTCCTGAAGTCAGTTGGGATTACAGGTGTGCACCACTACTATTTGGCTAATTTTTGTATTTTTAGTAAGGACACGGTTTCACCCTGTTTGACGCCTGGTCTAAACTCCTGACCTCCAAATATCACGCTCGTCCAAGTCTGGATAAGGCATGAGCCACTGCACGCCGCCGCTAACATATTCCTTTTTTTTTTTTTTTGAGATGGTAGTCTCGCTCTCGTCTGCCAGCGCTGGAGTCCAGTGGCGCGCAATCTCGTGCTCACTGCATAGCTATCCGCTTCCCGGTTCACCCTATTCTCCTGTCTCGCTCCTGATAGCTGTGGACTACAGGCACCCGCGCACCGTGCCCGGCTAATTTTTTGTATTTTTAAAGTAAAGAGATCCGGGGTTTCAGCCCGTGGTCTCGATCATCCTGACCCTTGTGATCCGCCCGCCTCGGCCTTCCAAAGTGCTGGGATTACAGGCGTGAGCCACCACGCCCGGCAACATATTCTTTTAAAGAGAGAGAGAAATGTTAAGTTCCCCCTTATGGGATACCTTCTTACATAATCTAAATACATAGGTGTTATCAACATCTGCACCTCTACAAAAAACCTGCCTGTCTGAATTATTCTGGTCTTACTACCTGTGACTCTAAAATGAGATCACACTTACTTTATGGCCTGCATTAAAGTATTCAAGCCCTCAACCACGCAGTGGCCAACATCCATCCCCTTCCCTAACCCTTCTCCTCCCCCATGTAAAATACTTCCCACAACCTACTGATTGAGCAGACAGCTGGGTAGTTGCTATGTCTAGGGAGGCTGGATCCCAAGTCCACCAAGCTCCACTTAGGGTCAAATAAAAAGAGCCAGAGGATTGGTTTTTAGTTGTGAATTCACAGACCATGTTTTCCAGGAAAAAATAATGTCACTGTATTAATAACTGCAAACATTGAATGTGTATTATGTGCCAGACACTGTACTAAGACCTTTTTATGTGTAATCACCTTTAAAACTCACAATGACCCAATGAGTCAAACACTACTAAACAGTATTCCTATCTTATACATGAGTCAAGTGAGGCAAGGAGAGGTTAAGTAATTTGTTCATGTTCACCAGATGGAAAGGGGGAACTGGGACTCGGCATGGTGGCTCACGCCTATAATCTCAACACTTTGAGAGGATTGTTTGAGCCCAGGTGTTCGAGACCAGCTGGGCTGGGAACACATAGCAAGTCCCGTCTCTATTTAAAATTAAAAAATAAATAAAAATTTAAAAAAGGGGGAGCTGAGATTTAAATCTTGACACTCTGATTGTAGAACTCAGGCTCATAACAAGATGACCCTGACCAGATGGTAAGCTCCATTCATGCAGGGACCTTCCTCAAGGGCCTAGTGCACTGCCTGGCACAGAGCAGAAGTGTAGCAAGTATTAATGGATTCAAATGTTCACATGCTAACACTGCCAGTAGGCTGGGGAAAGGACGGTGGCAACCTTTTCCAGTGACTGCAGGCTTGTGTCCTCACCCAGGGTACACTCCCCAAAATCCAAGCCTAAGGCAAGGAGGCCAAATTAGCGTCATGAGAGGCCCTGGGGGAGGGGTTGGAACCAGAGGCTGCAGCCACAGACGGACCTTTCTGTACCCTGGTGGGGCCTGATGTGCCCACAGGAGCACAATCCCTTGATCTGCAGCTTTCACTCCAGAATGTGCTGGACACACATCGAAACATTGAATCTGAGCCTCTTTGCCTCACCTGCTTCTGCGGAATTCCTTTTAGATGTATTAACATTTTTTTTTTTTTTTTTTTTTTGAGATGGAGTCTCGCTCTGTCTCCCAGGCTGGAGTGCAATTGTGTGATCTCGGCTCACTGCAACCTCCGCCTCCCTGGTTCAAGCGATTCTCCTACCTCAGCCTCCCCAGTAGCTGGGATTACAGGCGCACGCCACCACACCTGGCTAATTTTTCTATTTTTAGTAGAGACAGGGTTTCACCACGTTGGCCAGGCTGGTCTCCAACTCCTGACCTCAGGTGATCCACTCGCCTTGGCCTCCCAAAGTGCTGGAATTACGGGCGTGAGCCACTGCGCCTGGCCAGATGTATTAACATCTAATTCACCTGTTGTGTTTACTGCTGCACCCCTAATGCCTAGAACAGTGAAATCTTTGTTGAATGAATAAAAGAAAAGTTAAGCCATGAACCTGATCCTGGCCAGGTGGCGCTTCCAGACTCTAGACTTGAGTCCTTTCAGCGCCTCCTACTGGGGCTGGATTAGCTCAGGGGGCACTTTATTTCCTACATTTCTAAGTCACAGGGGTGGGGGTAACAGGGGCATTCACTGTTGACTGCCAGCGCCCGGAGAGGTGAGCTCCTGGTTCTCATTCTAGGAGTTACAGCCCATATAAGACCAACATCCTTTTTCACAACCCACAAGGATTATTCTGCTATAGTTTTAGGTAATGCAAATATTTCCTCTCTTGGGTTGTGGTTGAAAAATAAAGAGGTCCAAGAGATAGCAAAAATCAAGAAAAATAAACATACAATGCCAGGTTCAATCAGACAAGAATCAATGTGAATACACATGGGTAAACCCTGAAATAGAAACATGGCACCATAGTTTAACTGACAAACATCCTGAAAGAGTCCAGAATGTCACTCCCACTCCTAAAGTGCTGAACACAGCAGGGGGCTGTAACTGAGTCAGGAGCTATTTTAATCTCCCTTGTAAAAAAGACATAAAAATGGCAAAGAACTGGACAGACTGCTAGTCAAGAATATGTAACTGTTCATGGATGAGATGGAATTCACGCATATTTTTATTTCTTCCAAGCAGGTACAGAGACTCAAATGTAACCCTTTGATTGAGCTCTCATGCTTGAAGATGTGCTGCTCCCTGGCCTTTGAGCTCTGTGCTGGCATAAAGCCCAATGCCTGGGCAGGGCAGATGATCATAGTAAGGAGAATTTTAATACCAGTCATGGGACACAGTGGGGAGCACAGACAGTAGGGTTTACCAGGCAATGCTGTTGATGTTGACAGTCCTAGCAAGGCTGGCAGTTCCAGGAGGAGGACCAGCACCTCCAGGACGTATGATTTCCCATGGGTGATGTGACCCTTCACATAACCATTCTGCTCCAAGGTCTGCCTTGTTCCCAAGTGCTATATGCTGATCCGCACCCATCACAATCACACACGTCTCACACAGACTCAAGACTCTGCAGCACCCAACTGAGTACTCACTCAAGCAAGATGAGGCTCCTTGGTGGTGCCATCTTTATTATTCCCAGCCACAAGTTATAGCCACAACCTCTCTTCCATTTAAAGTGTGCGTCACCCGCAGAAGAAAACGGGTGTCGGAGTTCCCTCCCATGATTCAATTCTACCCTCCCCTGGTCTTTGCACGGATCCCAGTGGTCCTGGCTCAGATCAAGCCTACAGCTTACTTCCCAGGCACACTTCCAGGAAGGCAGTTGGGGTGGGGGGTGCCCCTTTACGGCTCTTCCCGGGTTACATGAGAAGCAGTGATCTCAATGGGGTCTCAAGTAGAAGCCCTGAATTAGTGTTCATTAACAAACTTAATCCTTTGTCCTAAACCAGGCTCTAGCTCAACTGAAAGATAAAGGGGGGTTAAACATTAAGAAAAATGGCATTTTTTCATGTCACTGATACCCCAAGAGAAGTTAATAGGTCTACCTTGTAGATGCAGGGAAATCATAAAGTCAAACTACAATTTTTTATAAGAATTAATTAATTTTTTTAAGCTTATTATTATTTTTTTTTGAGACAAGGTCTTGCTTTGTTGCCCAGGCTGGAGTGTAGTGGCACGATCTTGGCTCATTACAACCTTCACCTCCCAGGCTCAAGTGAACCTTCCACCTCAGCCTCCCCAGTAGCAGGGGCTACAGGCATGCGCCACCATGCCTGGCTAATTTTTGTATTCTTTGTAGAGACGGGGTTTTGTCATGTTGCCCAGGCTGCTCTCAAACTCCTGGGCTCAAGCGATCCACCATCCTCAGCCTCCCAAAGTGCTGGGATTATAGGTGTGAGCCACAGCACCCAGCCCAAACTACAAATTTTAATAGAATGTTAAACCCAACGACTGGCCAAAAATCACTTAGGTCAAGAATTCCTAATCCACAATCTCATCAGTATGAAGGGAAAGCACTCATTCTAACACAGATCCAAGAACCAATGGCTACCCCAGGCACCTTAACAGCATCAACTCAGAACTTCAGAAATCAACTAGAGATCATCCAAGGAACGTAAGTATAATTCTATAAAAAACATCTCATCCCCATCGCAGCAGGCTCCAAACTCCAGTGAGGCTTCCATAGGCCATGGAGAATGGGTTTGGCTCTTGTCACAGGGTAGAGCCCCATGATAGGGGTCTGAGGTAGATGAAAACGGGGTAGCCAGGGGCATCTACAGAAGATGTTACAGAGCTGCCTGGGCCTCATGACAGTTGCAGCTCAGTTACAAATCCCAGATGGCTCTATTTGCTTAAACCAGTTTTTCCAGTGACGCTTACATGCTGGCTTTCTTGGTTTCTATAGATGCTTGGTTTCAAAAATAAAACTAAAATAACAAAAATTCCAAATCCCTCAACTGGAACAAATAAATAATAGTAACAATATTTACATGAATATGTCACATTGAGAGATTCCAGCATGACCAAGGAATGGAAAATCCACGAACGTGCCCTGGCCTGTGCGGGGCTCAGGCCTGGCTCACCGTCAGGTGTGAAGACACCACGGGGAGCCGATGGATGTATGCAGTGAGCTGGGATGGGCCATGACACCTGGCTGGGCCTTAAGTCCAGGTAGGCAGGATGTGCAGGAGCTGTGGGGCCGTCCATAGATTGAGTTTCAAGCAAGCAAACAAAAAAACCCTCAGCTCTCCCGAGTAGTATGGCACAGTCAGGGTCACTGGTGTGAGCTGCGCCCTATCAGAGGAGGAGCCGCTCCTGGGGATGCCAAGGGGGCTTCTCTGATTGCTGGCACAGGTGGGGACCTCAGGATCCCCGTCCCAGGGAGCACAAAACTCTTCACATGAGCTGCAGACAGGACAAGGAGTCAAGGTCTGGCATGGTCCCCTCTTTCATTGGACTATGTGACAAGGGGGATGTGGAATTCATTTGTGTCGAAGATCAGGGGCCTCTTGGGGGGGTTCGGGTCCCTGTCGGCCTTGTGGAGCAGCTTGAAGAGCCCGGTTCCAATGTTCATTGGGATTCCCATGATGATGCACTCAGACACCCCTGAAACCAACCAGAATGAACATCAGAGAGCCTCTAAACACAAGCTACATTTTCAGGAAGACAGACTATTGGCTTAAGTATCAGAAAATTAGGATGTGAGTCCCAGCACCACTCCACATCAACTGGCTGAACTCTGGAAAATCCCTTTCCTTCCAATCTAGAAAAGAAGAGTGGCTGTGGAGTGCAGGCCGGGGGGATTATGTGCTTTCAGGGAAGGGCAGTGCCTGCTCACAGCCCAGGAGTTTGTTGGAGAGAGTCAGCTCCACCAGTTCTCCTCTCCCACCTGAGCCAAAGGCACCCTGGGAGGGCCGTGCCTTTGAGAATACAGCTTAGCAAGAATATGAAAGGATGCTCAGGAAACTCTAAGTTTGCCACCCAGTGCTTCCTTAGCTTAGAGCCTACAAGAAAAGCAAACAACTGGGACAGTAGTGAGCAGAATACAATCCCCTTGGAAACTGCAGCAGGCAGCTGTTAGCTGTGCTCAGGGGAAGGGGCCAGGCCAGGCTTAAGAGCATCTGAGCCTTGATGATCTACAGCCCTGATGAGAAACACCCGGAAGGCAGGGCACCTATAGAGTTACAGGAGCAAGGAGGTGGTGCAGATTCTTTCTCCAAGCCCATGTCAACCTGGCATAAGCCTTGAGTCTACGACGAGCAAGCACATGGCTACTGTCTTATAGACTTTGTGCTAACAAAGAACCAGACAGGCAAACAACTAAAGACCAACACGCAATGAGGGCGAACACTGGGTTACAATGTGCTGAAAGACCAGGAGGAGGGGAAAACTTCAAATTGCGGGTGGGGTGGCAGCCAGGCAGTCGAGGAGGTTGGTGGTGGAGAGAGGTCGTGGGTGGTGGTGTGTGGGGCCGCAGAGCTGCAGCAAAGGCCCGGTTTCCAGGTGTCAGGCTTGAGTGCTGGGTCTCAGCCCTGTTGTCAGGCAGACTCGCTCTTCTCCTGGCCCTGGGCCTTCTTCCAGTCTTCCGTGTACCTCCCTCTTGCCCCACTCTAACTGCTGCTCCTTTTTCTTTCCCTTCATGCTCGTTTTTTTTTTTGTTTTTTTGTTTTTTTTTGAGACGGGGTCCTGTTCTGTCACTGAGGCTAAAAGTGCCGTGGTGCGATCTCGGCTCATTGCAACCTCTGCCTCCTGGGTTCAAGAGATTCTCCTGCCTCAGCCTCCCGAGTAGCTGGGATTACAGGCGCCTGCCCCTGTGCCCGGCTAATTTTTGTATTTTTTAGTAGAGATGGGGTTTCACCATCTTGGCCAGGCTGGTCTCAAACTGCTGACCTCATGATCCACCTGCCTCGGCCTCCCAAAGTGTTGGGATTACAGGCGTGAGCCACCGTGCCTGGCCCATGCTTGTTTTTAAAAAATATTTAAATAGACATGAGGTCTCATTATGTGGCCCAGGCTGGCCTCAAACTCCTGGGTTCAAGTGATTGTCCTGCCTCAGCCTCCTGAGTGGCTGGGACGACAGCAACACCATGCCCGGCTCTCATCCTTCTTTATCTTAAAGAATTATGTAATATTTCTTTCCCTCCATCTCCAATCCATGTCCCTTTTGAAAACAGAAAGTTAATCTTAGAGGCAAAAAATAGGTATACACTCTAATGATGCCAATCTATACGAGAGCAGGAGGTGAGACAGCAAAGGGCTACTGGGAAGCAGAGCTCTGGCCTGGAAACGGCAGCCAGACTTGGAATCTCTGAGGGCCTGATTAGCGTGTGCCCTGGGGCAGGCTGCTGACCCTCCCGAACTCCAGCCCCTCACCAGCTCCCACCGCAGGCCTGCGGGGTCTTCCTGTGGAATCAGAAAGGCTCGAGCAAAGCTCAGCAGTCAGTGCTGGTCTCATGGAAGAGGCAGGGAAGCCAGACATTGGGGAGAATTCCCCTCACGCTCCCTCTCCCGCAGGCCAGTACAGCGCCATCAGAGCCATGCTTTGTTGTGTGGTGGGGATGAGGCATGGTGCAGAACAAAGCTCTGCTGGTAGACTCGACAGCAAGCTAGGTCACCTGGGTCTTCGGACTTGTCAAAGGGCTTAATATCCACACCCCAAGGGTGGGTTGACATACTTAGCACATATGATGCCTGGCACAGGGGCTGAGCAGGCATCGACGGCTACCTCCCAAGGACAGCAGGACACTCTGCTCTGCCCAGTGCCCAGCCAGTACCCTCTCCTGTCAGCCCTGGTGTCATACACAGGGGTCAGGAGAAGTGTGGCTAACTACAAAGTCAAGGGCTAGAAAAATTCTTACATGCTCAGGGTTGCTCTTTTCTTCTTGGACCAAAAACCATCTGTGCTGACAGAGGGAAGTCATCCAACAAATGTAAACGGGGATGCAGGATGCTACAGTCAGGCTTTGGAGATAAAAGATCCAGCAGTTCCAATTCATGATCTATGACATTATTCTTGAAAAAATAAATGCTGTGCCACTCAGTTTCTTTCATTCCCTTAGAAGCCTAGACATGGTCTAAGTCGTAAATAGTAAAGGCCTTTGATGCTGTTCATAGAAACATCAAACCTACCACACACGGAGTCCTTCTGCCCGAAGTAGGCAGCGTCAAAGAGATGGTCAGCTGTCTTCTCAAAGGAGGCCAGCATCAGCACACTCTCCTTCATCTTGGCCAGGCCAAACCTAGTGATGCCCAGGACTTCACCCTGCGTCAAGGGGGAAAGAGTCACGGTGGTACTCACAGCAATGGCAAAAGCTTGAAACCAAAGCACAGTGCACCTTCAATACAATCAACAAAAATCCTCCAAGACCCAACATCAGGTGTGAAAGGCCCTGGGGAGCTATGTGTCCGCCCTCTGTGTCCCACTGAGGTGGTCAGTCATCGGCAACATGGAACTTCACACTCGCATCCAGATGCCATCAGAACAAAGAAGAATTAAGAACTAGAAATCAGAGACTAACTTTAAAAAAGGGGAGTACTTCTGAAGAGATTTCTTATGGCTCAAAGAACTAAAAAAAAAAAGAATGTAAAAACCTCAAGTATGAAGATAATTAATTAAATTTAGGTAATTCTCTTCAAAGGAATATTGTGCCATAATTTAAAAAGTATATTTATTAAAACCATGAAACAAGATGGAAAATATTTGTGATGTTAAACAAAAAGTCAGAACAAAAACTGCACGCACACTGTTTCCTGCAACTAAAGTAAAAGATGCATAGAGACTAGGATTTCACAGAAGATGTCGAACCGATAGCCATTTCCCTCACCTGGTTTCTTTTTTTTTTTTGGAGACGGAGTCTCGTATAGTGGCCGGATCTCAGCTCACTGCAAGCTCCGCCTCCTGGGTTCACGCCATTCTCCTGCCTCAGCCTCCTGAGTAGCTGGGACTACAGGCGCCCGCCACCTCGCCTGGCTAGTTTTTTGTATTTTTTAGCAGAGATGGGGTTTCACCGTGTTAGCCAGGATGGTCTCGATCTCCTGACCTCGTGATCCGCCCGTCTCGGCCTCCCAAAGTGCTGGGATTACAGGCTTGAACCACCGCGCCTGGCCCCTCACCTGGTTTCTAAATATTCTGTAATACACTATCAACTTGTTTGGGGAAGCCTTATGAAAACCTGCTGCCCTAAGGTACAGCTAGAGGGAAATACATTTTTTTGGAAAAGAGAGAAAAAAAAATCAAAACACCAACCCACCTCAGACTCCCCCCTCCAACTTCAGATCAGGTTAACTTATTCTTTCCTGGGAGTGGCTACAGAAGAGTGATGGATGGGTTTGATAAGAAAGAAACACCTCGGCTGGGCGTGGTGGCTCAAGCCTGTAATCCCAGCACTTTGGGAGGCCGAGACGGGCGGATCATGAGGTCAGGAGATCGAGACCATCCTGGTTAACCCGGTGAAACCCCGTCTCTACTAAAAAATACAAAAAACTAGCCAGGTGAGGTGGTGGGCGTCTGTAGTCCCAGCTACTCGGGAGGCTGAGGCAGGAGAATGGCGTGAACCCAGGAGGCGGAGCTTGCAGTGAGCTGAGATCCGGGCACTGCACTCCAGCCTGGGCGACAGAGCGAGACTCCGTCTCAAAAAAAAAAAAAAAAGAAAAAGAAAGAAACACCTCAACTTGCCATGGGACTCTCTGGGTTTTGGCAATGGCTAATTTTGCTTTAGGATGGATGACACTCAGGATAAGAATGGAACCAAGCTCCAGCTCTCTTCACTCCACTGACTGGGTGTGAGTTTGCCATGAGGCTGTAATTCTCATACTGGGATTTGACCAGGACACCCAGCCTGATCAGCATACTTTGGTTTTTGAGCAATGTTCACATCTTATTTTCCCTCTCTGATGGTCCTCACAGCGGCGCATTCTACACGTCTTAGAAACTCCACAGGCTTATTCTCCTGAAAGTGAGTTTCGAGACGCCCAGCCAGCCCGGGGGCCTCCTGCCACACACCTTGTAGGTCATGAGGTCGGAGAGCAGCATCACGTGCCTCCTGTCGATGCTCATGCCGTGGTTCACCATGGTGTACTGGATTTCATTGATGATGGTTGTCCGGGCAGCCTCGATGCCCAGAGTTTTCTCCACCTACAGAGAGAAAGGAATGAGCAGAAGCAGCCACTTTTGTGAGGCCACTGCAAATTCTCTCCACTTCCTCCTCTGCCCTGCAAGTTCAAAGTAAACTCTGTGCCGTTTTCCAGAAATGGATTACTGGGCAAGTTTTAGTTGTAGACCCAGGGCGAATGGGATGGTGAGAGAAGTATGCTGGGAACCAGTGGAAGGCCTGCAGATGGCACAAGGAAGACAACCTAACCCTAAGGCGACTCCGTGGGCTAAGCAGTACCTCATAGGTGTTATTGGAGGTGGTTCGGGTGCCCTTCACACCGTGCGTGGCCATGACTGCCCGCAGGTTATCACCTTCCACCAGAAGCTTGTACTTCTCCTTTCCACTCTGCTCATCAATGTGTATGACAGCTCTGGACACCTCTGGAATGCCCTGCACCACCACCTGGATTCAGAGACAGAGAAGGCTGTGAGGACGGAGTGAGCCATGCCCTGGGATGATCACCTTGATCACCCCAGCTTTCAGCAGTGGTCATCTGTGACACACTAGAGCTAGTTTTAGGGATAAGGGAGGGGATTACGCCTCTTTCTAACATCAGTTTTTTGACAGAGCAGAGAGGAATCTAACAGACTAACTCCTTGGGGATATGGCCAAGAAGAAATGAAGAAATGGGACTAAGTGACAAAGCCCTTAGGTCCCAGCCCTGGGTGTCACACCACAGGGAGATGCTGGGTCTCCATGAGAAGCGACTCCTGTTTCACCTTGGGGAGATCTTCTTTCAGGAACTGCAGCACGTAGTACATGGAGCTCTTGCTGTTCTCTCTGGGGGTGACACACACCACAGCCTCACCGTGAACAGCTATGTCGCCGGGCTTCACGCGGAGCTTGGACGTACAGATGGAATATCGCACTGTCTCAGCGTTCACCTGCAACATGGCCAGGAGTAGGTGTTACTGAGAGGTTTGAGGGCTTCGATTCCAGTGTTTTTCATCCTTTATTTCATTATTGCCCCTCTAAGAGGTCCTTTTAGTCAGGTTTGTTCTAAACACCCCCCACCCGCACCATGAAATTAATACCATAGATATACTACATATCTGTTTTATGTATTATGTATATATATCTGTGCTTTACTCATAAAAATAGCTTTTTTTTTCACCCACAACAAAATATTTGCCCTTGAAAATTCATGCTCAATTCACGGCAACACATGCAGCCTCTGTGGGAAGCTCTAGGGAGGCTGAAGGTTGGAGGCCAGGCTGATTAAAAGCTTCTGTGGGGCCTCCCCTTTACCTGACATTTCCACAGTGGTTCACTTGCTACATTCCTGGATGCAACTCAGCTCTTCTGCAAAAGAGCCGCAAGGCAGGCAGCAAGAGGCAGGCTAGAGAAATCCCCAAACTGGAGAGCAGGTTGCTGCATTTCAGAGTCAACTGTTATATGGGTAACATATGACCTTGGTGCGTGAGAGAACGAACTGACAGAATGTTTTAAGGGCTAGTACAGCTTTAACTACCCGAGAGAAAGAAGAGGGTGTTGGGAAGTTACTCAGTTTGCACCCCAAGTTGGTCTGTTTGTGAGAAAGGTGGATCATCTTTCAAATGTTGCCTACTACCCGTGCATTCCAGTTTAAGAAGCCAGGTTAATCTCCCCATCTAAACACATTTACGGAACTTCCTAGGCTAGCTGCCATGCTGGGCGCTAGGGACCCACAGATGAGTAAGAGAGCCAGCCCTAGGGTCCTTCCAGACACTGGGAAGAGGGGACAACAAGACCACTTATCATAACACCGTGTCACAGTGAACTGCTATTGTGGTCTGCACAAGATTTCTACTAATTTCCTGTGTGTCTTTAGATGCCTATATTTGTATCAAGGTCAGGTTTAGAAAGAGAAAATGTGAGGGGACGACAGAATCACAAAAACTAGAAACCAAACAGAAGCTTCTGCAATGCTTCCTCTGCCTTGCTTAGCTCTTGCCCTAGTTTATCAGTACCTATCTTGGGACTAACAGGATGACTTCCTCTCTACATTTAATTATGTGACTCACTTCCAGTCTCAGAAGTCTAATCCGTTCCAGGGAGAGTTTGACGAGAATAAAGCAGTCATCAGGAAGAAACACTTCTTCAATATACTCGGAAATCTGGAGTGTCAAAAGATCAGAGTGTTAATCAGCCGCTTTCCCCTTTCCTAAGAGCATGTGACTGCTTGCTTTTTTTGAAGAGTTGGAGTAGTGAGGACGCCACAGGCTGGTCAATCCATGGCAGCTGATTTTTACACTTCCTTGCAATGTTGCTGAGCTAGTTTTCTTGTCATCAATAGGGATTTCTTCTTACCTCTCCCAAGAGGGTTTTCTCAATTCTCCCTTTCACGAGGCGAGCGTAATCCGCGTCGTCATCCTTGTCTAGCTGTGCTGTGATAATTGGAGTGCTGTCGAGAGGCAAAGGAAAAATGACGCTAGCACAAGGGAGGAGCCTGTTTGAAGACCACTGCTTTGTTAAACCCAAGTGCTATTTAGAATCATAATGTTAGTAGCAACCCCAGTTTACTGAATATTTACTGTCAGGTATGCTACTAAGGGCTTCATATACATTCTCATTTAGACTTACTATTTTTGGTGGTCCCCAAGCAATCTACTCCCGAAGTGAATGAAAAGACTTTCAGAAAATTCTTCCTTAGAAAGTGAGCCCTGGTTGGGTGCGGTGGCTCATGCCTGTAATCCCAGAACTTTGGAGGCCAAGACAGGTGGATCACCTGAGGTCAGGAGTTCAAGACCAGCCTGGCCAACATGGCGAAACTCTGTCTCTACTACAAATACAAACATTAGCCAAGTCCCAGCTACACAAGGGGCTGAGGTAGGAGCATCGCTTGAACCCAGGAGGCAGAGGTTGTAGTGAGCCAAGATCGCACCACTGCACTCTAGTCTGGCAACAGAGTGAGACAGAGTGAGGTTCTGTCTCAAAAAAAAAAAAAAAAAAAAGTGATCCCTACCTGTTTTTCTTTGGTCCTAACAAGCGTAACAAGCAGTTATTTTAGTTCTGTTTCCTGTGTAAACTGACCACCCACACTTTTTTTTTTTGAAAGGGGTCTTGCTCTGTTTCAGGCTGGAGTGTAGCGGCATAATCACAGCTCACTGCAGCCTCTATATCCTGGTAGAGGATCAATCGATCCTTCTGCCTCAGCCTCCCAAGTAGCTGGAACCACAGGTGTGCACCACCACGCCTGGCTAATTTTTAAATTTTCTGTAGGCTTGGGGTCTTCCAGTGTTGCCGGGGCTGGTCTCAAACTCCTGGGCTAAAGTGATCCTTCAGCCTTGGCCTGCCCAAGAGCTGGGATTACAGGCATGAACCACCAGGCCTGGCCTGTAAAGTGACCTTTTGCATATTACAATTTCCCTCATCCCTCTCCTCTCCCATCACCGCTTCTCCAGGAACACCTCCAACTCCTCTGATCACTGGCCATCAGCTTCTGTCCTCACTGTTCTGGACAGGATCCCCAGAATACACACCTGGGACTGACTAATCTGACCAGCCTGGAAGGGGCAGGCAGAGCTCCTAACACCCTGGTTGTCTACAGTTGTGGTTCCACAACCAAGTATGGCTATCTTTCTTTTTTTTCTTGAGACAGTCTCGCTCTCTCGCCCAGGCTGGAATGCAGTGGAGTGATCTAGGTTCAACGCAAGCTCCGCCTCCCAGGTTCACGTCATTCTCCTGCCTCAGTCTCCCGAGTAGCTGGGACTACAGGCACCAACCACCACGCCTGGCTAATTTTTTGCATTTTTAGTAGAGACAGGGTTTCACCATGTTAGCCAGGATGGTCTCAATCTCCTGACCTCATCATCCGCCCGCCTCAGCCTCCCAAAGTGCTGGGATTACAGGCGTGAGCCACTGCGCCCAGCTGACTATCTTTCATTTAATGCTATGTATCATTATTTTGTTAAATATAGATCACAGGTAAAAATCATGACTTTTGTCATCAAAGGCACTGTAAAACATTTCTATTTCTTCTAGCCTTAGATCAACTAGAAATCCTATCACGAAATCACCAGGGGCTCACAGAATATGACCACAGGCCAAGTGGCAGACACTTCAGTCAGGCCTAGTTAGGCTGGAATAATGACATCAAAAGGATGAAATCTCCACTGACACATTGCTCCAGTTTTTCCAGTCATTTTTAACATTTTCTCTCTTCATGTTACTTGTGGCCATAAAAAAAAAACATTGCTTCTATTTTGACTGTATCCAGTTTAGACTTCTTCTTAAGTGGCTTTTTAAAAAACCAAAATAGGATGAACACAGCATGCATGCCACCCAGAGTTTGAGACACAGTCCTATGAGGATATCACACATATGCATGTGACACGAGGATCATCGTTTCTCAAGAAACAGGACAGGCATGTGTGGAACAAGAGGGAAATGAAAGCAGGCACCTGATGGCCTTGGAAGCATTGATGATCTCTTTAATCCGGGGCACGCCCAGGGTGATGTTCATGGAGGCCACACCTGCAAAGTGGAAAGTCTTCAGGGTCATCTGGGTGCCTGGCTCACCAATGCTCTGGGCACACAGAGCGCCCACTGCAGAACCTGGCTCCATCTGTGCCCTAGAAGGCAAAGGTATGGATAAGAATGCAGCATGCCAAAGAAAAGTCCAGCAAAACTGCTGGGGAGAGGCTTCTGGTTATCACCTTTCAACAGAGAATACAGATGCTATTCGGGTCGGGAAGGGTATATATAGTTGTGACAGAGGAAGAGCCTGGCATAGGTGCAGACAGGGGTAAGTAATGGTCAGAGAGGGGACGGCAATGCCACTCAATTCTGCATGGCTACTTGTGGTCAGCATGTAATAGATGCAGAAAATCTAAGTGGTCTGCTAACCAATGGTACTGATGGCAAACAGAGCAGTGGCATCTGCCATATTCATTAGCAGTTTCCCCATGGGGAGAAGACATTAAGAAATTTCCTTGCAATTATTTCCATATCTTGGAGCATTCAGCCTAGCAATTCATCAGACCCCCTAGAGAAAATGTGACAGAACCTGATCAAATACTGTCAGTTAACAAGTGAGCTGGTGTAGGGTTTTGTACACGTGGAGAAACAGAAGGGATACGTGAGAACTATGTGAAAGACAGTCAGTCCAAGACAAAAGCATCCCTACCTCATGTACTTGTCCCTACAGGTCTCCAGAAACTTTTCTACTTGGGTGGGGGTGATGCGGTCCAGCTGGTACAGCACACGGGGCTGGAAGAATACAAGCCAAGCATACAGTTAGGGCCGGCAGCACCTGCAAACAGCTCGGGGTTCTAACATGTCTTGGAGGGATATTACCTCTGTTGTGCCATTATCATTGATGCCATATTTATCTCTGGTTTTCTTGATCTTCTCAGAGACCCCCTTAATGAATTTTTTTATTTCCTGAAAGATTACACAGCAAACATCATTTGTAAGTTTCACAGTCATTCAGATGACATAATTCATTTCATAAACCTCAGTTGTATATGACAAGTCTATCATATTTTAATGTTAGCTCCATATATAGTATAAAGGACACAATCTGGATACTGCTTCTACTACAAAGTGGTTTTCCAAAGAACACACCACACTGTCCATACCCCAGACACACACTCCGTTGGTTACGGTGTCTCTAAGGCCTTCTCCTCCAACCACTCTCATGGCACTATCTACAGAGCCCACACAGCATGTGGGAGCCTTCATTCTTGTTCTCCAATGTGCCACGAGGGCTATAAGAACACAGTTGAGGACAGGTACAACTGCAGCATTTATACTCTTCTGTAGATTAATTTTTGAGGGTTTCTTCTGAAGCTATTATGATCAGTTTAAATACCACCAACTAAAGCATAGCTTTGTTGACAGTTCATGCATTTAAAACACCCTTTGAGTTTACCTTCATTTCAAAGAAAACACTCTCCAAACCCAGCTTACCTTTTCCCCTCCGGTAACCACCTCTCCCCACAGGCCTAGGCCTATGCTCTCTTCCCACACACAATTAGAAGTCTGTAAGGATTCCTGGAAACCACTGTCAAAGCCAGATGTGAAGCATCGGTATATGCTGCGATTCCCACTGTATTTAAGAATAGCACTCTCAGCCCCGGGAGGATGACCAAGTAGAGCAAGAAGGTGAAAAATACACAGGTGGAAGATCAGAGCAGGGCTAGAGACTACAGCCCTGACTCCGGTTTTCTGGTGACCACTCAAATGGGTAAAACTATCTGTTTTAGGATTTACAGTGTGTCTGTGAAAGAGACCCAGCCCACCACCACTCCTAAAGCCAGGATCAGACAGCACCTTCCCCTGGGGAGCGCTCACAGGGAAGGAGCACTTACAGAGGAGCAGTTAACATCCTGCTCACAGTGGGTCAATCATCAAGGGCTACTCCGGGGTAGTAGAATGGCTCTTAAAGCACTTCTCAGGGTGAGCTGATGGCACCTACCATGCAGTAGCAACTGTCCTCCAGAGGCCATTATCCTGCCATCCTGGGAGCCGGCATCGGCTGCTCTGGTGTGGCCCAGGGACAGGACAGTCTCTGAGAATATGGGGAAGAGGAGATAGACTGCCCCTCCTTTGTAGCAGCAAGGAAATCACAGTGGCAGTAAGCTTAAGTGGCACTCTGGCCAAATGCAGGCATCCAGCTGCTCTGTGTGGGTGGATGAGTACAGACGCCCACACGCGGAGGACAAGCAGGGTGAGGGCAGACTGCATCACGTGGTGGCTAAGAAGCCTCGTGAGGTTGTTTCTTGATTCTGGGGTAGGCTGAGGGTCCCCCAGAGAGAAGGCCAGCATGCCTTGCCCAAAGTCCACTCAGCCTATTGTGTGGCTGAAAATGCCTAAGCCTGAACCAGAAGCCCATTTTCGCAAAAATAAAATCCTGTAAGGTACCCACAGACAGCTTAAGACTTCCTAGCCCCATTTTGTCCTAACCTTGCAAAAAGAAATCTCATTAGCCTCCTAACTAGCCATTTCTAGTGACTACCCTTTCTACAAGCAAAACGCTAGAACTTTATGTTCTTGTTTAAATAGCCTTAGCATCTGTGTCCACATGGTCTTATGCCTTTCCCAGCCAGCTGCTGCCCAGCTTGGCAAGACCTCCCTGTGAGGTGGCATGGCTTTAGTCCCACCACCCTAGAGCAGGGGGCACTGAAGGGCTGAATGAGGTCAGTGCTTGGCCAAGGCAACCAACCTCTCCATGAAGTCAGATGCTTTCTTCAAAGTCTTTTCTCTGAACAGGGGTTTCTTCAATGTAATCTTTGCCTACTGGGAAATTCCGTCTGTCTCCCAGGAGCCCAGGCAGCCAAGGGGCTACCTCGGGGGTCCATCACATCCTGGCCGTCAGTTCCCATGAATACTGCTTTCTCATGACTGCCTGTGTTGGCCAACTCTCTTTCTTCCCACTGAGAAAGTGCAGAGACCCACGGAGGGTGACCCCGCAGCCCAATCATTGTTCTACATAGAAAGGGCTTTTTATTTAAGAAGTTTTACCAGCTGGGTGTGGTGGCTCATGTCTGTAATCCCAGCACTTTGGGAGGCTGAGGCAGGTGGATCACCTGAGGTCAGGAGTTCGAGACCAGCCTGGCCAACATGGTGAAACCCCGTCTCTACTAAAAATACAAAAATTAGCCTGGCATGATGGCATGTGCCTGTAGTCCCAGCTATTTGGGAGGCTGAGACAGGAGAATCACTTGAACTCAGGAGGCAGAGGTTACAGTGAGCCGAGATCGTGCCACTGCACCCTAGCCTGGGTGACAGAGTGAGACTCTGTCTCAGAAAAAAAAAAAAAAAGAAAAGAACTTTTAGTAATTCACAAGAACTTTAGAGTTCTCAAGAAACTCTTTTTAAAGAGAAACTCTCCAGAGTCCTTGTTATTAATGATGAGTCTGACACCATGTTTTCAGATACAGTCACCTTTTGCAAACCAGAGATGAAAAATAAAGCTGGAGACGGCAGTGGGACAACCTCTCCTGGCACGGCTCTAACAGAACGTTCAAAGGCATTTGCACTTGCTGCCACTGAATTTTTCCTCTGTATATTCAGTATAAGAGGGGGCTTTGCCTGGCAGTGGCTGGGTCCTTTTGAGAAAGGTCCCGAAAGCCCTCTTGGCCCAGATGTTGCTGTTTGATCACCGGTTGTTAAAAGCTGCCTTACCTGTTGGCACAGGAAAAACAGGAGCAGAACTTAAGGCCAAGCCTTAGACCCAGAAGGTTTTCATCTGCAAGGGACTGTGCACACATATGGAGTAAAAATAACACACCTACAACAATCTGCTGGCTTAGGCACTGGGAATGACATAGCTCAGCTTTCACCCCAATGGACATGCTTCCCATGGGTTTGCTGAATGACTTTCCCTACACAAAGGTTCTAGAAATCAGGTTTAAAAATAAAAAAAAGAGGCCAGGCGTGGTGGCTCACACCTGTAATCCCAGCACTTGGGGAGGCCGAGGCGGGCGGATCACGAGATCAGGAGATCGAGACCATCCTGGCTAACATGGCGAAGCCCCGTCTCTACTAAAAAAAAAATACAAAAAATTAGCTGGGCGTGGTGGCGGGCGCCTGTAGTCCCAGCTACTCAGGAGGATGAGGCAGGAGAATGGCGTGAACCCAAGAGGTGGGGCTTGAGTGAGCCGAGATCACGCCACTGCACTCTAGCCTGGATAACAGAACAAGACTCTGTCTCAAAAATAAATAAATAAAAATAAATTAAAAAAAAAAAAAAAGAAAACAGCTCACTTTTTGGAAATGAAAGGTGAAACAATCTGCTAAAAATTCACACTGAGTCAACCCATGCATACTAGAGGGAACAAACTCACAACATGGCTACTGGCAGGCAATTCATCACACGATTAACCAGAAGTTAGCATCTCATGCTCCACAGCAGGCCTATGAGCACGGGCATCTGCCTCTGGCAGGGACCAGGGCTCAATGCCACTCAGGAGTGCCTCTGTCACCTCAGCTCTGATACGGGCTAGGGCTGGAGAACATTTCACGGGCTCAGACACATCTGTTCTGGCCAGTGGATTTTGGACCCTCTCGGCAAATCTGAGCTCATCAGATTGTGAGCTGCCGGTGGCAAGGACATGTTTAGTCATCCTTGCATCCCCAGGATCTGTGGACTGTGTGACATATGGTGAGGGCTAAACCAGTGCTCACTGAATAAACAAATGCTGCCGGGTAGGAGGTCACCTGTTAAAGCTTTTCAAGGGCAAGAAAGGAACCAGTCCAAAGCAAAGCAGTGTTTGCCAGAACCGGGACAGAAACCTGCTCTCTCTGGCTGGCAAATGCTGGGGTGCTGCTGGAGCGGGCCCTTTCTGTTGGCGTTCACAGCATGCTAAGCACGTTACCTCGTTATAGCTCTCATAACCTGTCTCAGTTAAGGTCTTCGAGGACAAACAGATAAATACGTAAACATAAGCGTGAAGAAAAACCAAATTACAACTCTAATTTGTTAGTTTAAAAAAAGGAATAGAAAGCCTTTGGAGGAGAAAAACAGACAAAGGCACCCAACCTTGCCACACTCTTGATTTTAAAATCTGGAAGAGTCTCTTTTTCACCTTTCATACCTTGACACATGAACACAAGAAGCGAGGAGCTTTCTTAACACAAATATTTAACCTTCACTTGCTGTTTTTATTTTTGATCTACTGAAAGAGATACATTCTTCTTTGGCCTGCTGATCTTGTGCTACATTTGAATTACCAATTAGTACACAAAGGAAACCATTTACTGATTTCTGTATCCCTTTGCTTTTGATCCTAACCATGATTATAAACATGAAGGAGTTGCCTGAGCAGGTCAGAACCATTAAGAAAACAAAAAACAAACCAACCAAAAAACCTTAAGAGGGTATCAAGGTAACAGCTCCCTGGAAGAATAGAAAAGGCTGATTCAATGGAGTTTTGATCCATAAAACGGCAAAAGAAAGAGCAGTTTAAACGGTGTCAAAACAAGACTACTACTAATAATAATTATTGGGATTCAGAATGATTGATGGAAGAGTTGGCTCACAGGATTGAGTGGGTAGTAGGCTGGTGTTGGGACAGGGCTTAAACAAAATCAGCATTTTTCTTCTAAAAGGGGAAAAGAACATTTTTCTTCTAATAGGGAAATGGCTTGACTGAAAGACATAAACTAAGAAAGTCAAGAGATAAATTCTGCATGTTGGCTGGTGAGATTTTGCCTTGGCCATTTTTGAATGACTGCCCGTCATTTTTTTTTTTTTTTTTTTTGAGATGGACTCTCGCTCTGTTGCCCAGGCTGGAGTGCAGTGGTGCCATCCCGGTGTACTGCAACCTCCACCTCCCAGGTTCAAGTGATTCTCCTGCCTCAGCCTCCCAAGCTGGGATTACAGGTGCCCGCCACCACGCCCGGTAATTTTTGTATTTTTAGTAGAGACAGGGTCTCACCGTGTTGGCCAATCTGGTTTCCAACTGCTGACCTCAAGTGATCCACCAGACTCGGCCTCCAAAAGTGCTGGGATTACAGGCGTGAGCCACCACGCCTGGCCCATTCTTGAACTTTTTAACAAAGGAACAACCCTACCTTAAAAAACAAAAACCCAGCTTATAAAATCCACTTGACAGTCCTGGGCAAACAGAGTTCTTTACAACAGCCAGGCGGGGTGCAGTGGCCAGCACCTGGCAGAGCTTACCTGCAGGAAACTGTCCTGGCAGCAAAGGAACTCACTCTTCTTCATGATGGACTCTGTGGTCAGGATCAGCTCGTTTTTGCTGAGAGCAGGCTCACTCGGACACGGGAAGACTGCCTCAAGTATTAAAAGAAAATTATATTATGTATAGTGGCCACAGAGAGGGGGCAGGAATAGATGAGAGAACTTACAAGGGATAAAATGACCTTACCCGAGGTGAGCTTTTAACAACCTGTGATTTTTCTTTCAAAACAAATTGTGGACTGTACCTTTCATGTGAAGATGAAAACTGGATAAATGGAGACTCCATCCTACGCAAAAATTTCTGGGCTATTCAGCAGGTGTTGTCCCATCACTTCCCAGCCTTCGCCACCTCCCTGCCCCCCACTAGATTTACATTAAAAATATAAACTGTTATTTAAAAAATTCAAACATTTCAAGAGTGAAAATACTCTCCTACTTCTCAAGCTCATAAATTTCTTTTTTTTTTTTTTGAGATGGAGTCTTGCTGGATCGCCAAGGCTAGAGTGCAGTGGCGCCATCTCGGCTCACTGCAACCTCCGCCTCCCAGGTTCAAGTGATTCTCCTGCCTCAGCCTCCCGAGTAGCTGGGACTACAGGCATGCACCACCATGCCCGATTAATTTTTTTGTATTTTTAGTAGAGACGGGGTTTCACCATCTTGGCCAGGATGGTTTCGAACTCCTGACCTCAAGTGATCTGCTCGCCTCGGCCTCCCAAAGAACTAGGATTATAAGTGTGAGCCCTGACAGAATTTCCTCTTTTTTTCCTCTCTTCTGCTTTGTCCAAGTAGACTCAATGTTTTAATGGCTGCGTTATTATTCTTTCGTATAGACAGACCATCATTTGAAGTATCCTCTACTGATGGTTTGCCTTTACCGTAAGCAGCCTGGACAAAACATTCTGGGCATAGTTAGACCATTTCTAGAGGACAAAAGGAGTTTCTGTAAGGGAAACTATTGGGTCAAAAGGGACACATATTTAAAACTCAGACTGATACTGTCCAACTACTCTCCAAAAAGGTTGTTCCAAGTTATATTCTCAAAGTATGTGAAGTGTGCCTGCTTTCAATACCCATGACTTACAAAACTGGTCTCTAGTGCGCTCTACTTGACACAGAGAGAAACCGAACAAAGTCCTCTTCTGTTGTCATTTGATTACTACCAACACTAGACTTTCAACTGAAAACAACTTTTTTTTTGTCTTTTTTTTTTTTTTTTTAAAACAGGGTCTTGCTCTGTCACCCAGGCTGGAATATAGTGGTGAGATCAGCTCAATACCCATGACTTACAAAACTGGTCTCTAGTGCGCTCTACTTGACACAGAGAGAAACCGAACAAAGTCCTCTTCTGTTGTCATTTGATTACT